ATTAATCCAGATGTTTTCATTAATGTCTGTGGTGAAGCAACGGAAAATCATGGCCGTATGGTTTTCCTGATTGATTAATTATGCTGTTGTTTTTTTCATATTTTGCCAAATTAATGTAAATGTTTGATGTTAATCTTTGATTCTGTAAATAAATGACCGCATTCATTTTGATGGGTCAAAGATAAATAACGTCTCTCGTTACATTTTTGTTCAATTCAATGCACGCATGTTACACAGTCCAGAAAAATGAAGAACCTGTTTAATGTATGAATATATCTCAGCATCTGTTCATACTACAATAGTATTAATAAAAAACCTGTGATGATGAAAACAGACATCGAACAAAAATGATTAATCAATTTCCAAAAACTGACATCATTATCATCATAAAAAAAATAAAAATAAATAAGAACAAGTAACATGAGTTCACCCAATGACCGCTGGAGAAAAACACCCTGAACAGGAACAAGCAGCTAAAGCAAACTCGGATAGGGAAACGTGTTTCTCTGTGTTTGAGAAATTGCTTGAAACAAAATTCTTTGTACAGGATCATATCAGACATTTGCATGGAGGAGGTCTCCAAAATCACCTTGAAGAAACCTTGTTACTTGCAGACATCAATAAAAGTCGGAGTAATTTTGTAGCACAGCCCCTTCCTTCTTCACTGCAGGGAGACAATCATCCTGAACTGTTCTCTGTACCTTTCTTTAACATTCTGTTTGCACATCATAACCAATATGCCATTTACCTGCCAATAACCTAACATCATCCTCGGCCATCTGGAAACAATCATCTGGGTGGCTCGGGTTGATATTGATGATGTCCTTCATGTTGGTTCAAAGTCCCTCAGCAATAAAATCCGCATATAATGAGTAGTAGTAGATGAGTCCTGCACAGGCTGCAGGTAACAGCACTGCCCCAAACACAGAGCAAACAAGGTAACCAGCAACACAAAGAGACAGGGTGATGGTGAGACAGAGGCATTATGAAAACTAATGGAAGTGCTCCTGGATGTTAAAGCTGAACACCTCACAAGTCTCTTTGTCCGAGGGGTGATATCAGCTACATGATGAGGACAACAAAATATGTATGTTGGTTTAGACAAATCATCTTTGCATCGTTTACAATGTGTCCAGAACGCAGCAGCCCGTCTTTTAACAGCAACTAAAAAACATGAACACATAACCCCTGTCCTGGCTTCTCTCCACTGGCTTCCTGTCCACTTCCGAATTGATTTTAAGATTTTATTGCTTGTTTTTAAAGTCTTGAAAGGTCTGGCCCCGTCATATATATGTGATCTCATTAACATTTACACTCCAGTAAGAGCACTCCGGTCTACCAACCAGTTCCTCTTAGATGTCCCCAGATCCAAACTGAAATCCAGAGGTGATCGGGCTTTTGCGGTTGCTGCTCCAAAAACTGTGGAACAGTTTATCTGAGAATTTAAAGACCGCTCAGACTGTTGAGACTTTTAAATCTTTGCTCAAGACTCATCTGTATTCCTTGGCATTTCATCCACGCAGAGTCTGATAACAAGTTGAGCTGATTTTATTGTTGTTGTGTGTTGTTTTTACTGTTAACTTATGTTTTTGAGTGGCACTAGATGCATTTTTACTCTTTTTTTTTTTTATTTTAATCTGTCTTAACTGTAAAGCACTTTGGTCAGCTTTTGTTGTTTTTATGTGCTATATAAATAAATTGACATTGACATTGACATTGACAAAAAGCCTAAAATCTTTTCTGAAGATCAGAAATTTACCAGGAAGCACGGTGGCGCAACTGGTAGAGCTGCTGCCTCTCAGCGAGCAGGTCCTTGGTTCAAACCCCGGTCCAGTGGCCTTTCTGGGTGGAGTTTGCATGTTCTCTCCGTGCATGCGTGGGTTTTCTCCGGGTACTCCGGTTTCCTCCCACAGACCAAAAACATGCATGTTAGGCTGATTGATAACTCTAAATTGTCCCTAGGTGTGAATGAGAAAGTGAATGGTTGTTTGTCTCGTTTGTCTCTATGTGGCCCTGTGATGGACTTGTGACCCGTCCAGGGTGTACCCCGCCCCTCGCACAGTGATTGCTGGACATGGGCACCGGCGACCCCAGTGACCCAAAATGAAATAAGCGGGTAAAGATAATGGATGGATGGAGAAATTTACCAGTTTTAAGTTGAAGGTTTCTTTATTGTCCTCAAATTCAATTTCAAAATAATCTTTCTGAACATGCAATAACTGAATTTGACCGAAAAGTCAAATTAAGTTAATAATTCACCTTCTACAATAAAACATTTTTGTTCAGTATGCCATTATGGTGGGTTTTTTTTCACTGAATATTTTCAATTCCTGATCATGTGGGGGGGAAAAAAAACATCAACTCAAATTTGACTGTTGGATCTCAATGCTCCTTGCCTACTAAATTAAATACAAGACTGTTTCATACGTTAAAAAAATATTTACACCATGTAATAACTGAATCAATGCACTGCACTGACTTTTGTAAAATACAGTTGTCATGTTGAGCTTAAAAATACATTTTTAAATTGAGATAAAATATGACAGGGTCACAAAGTTTACTAAAGACATTCATAAGAAAATAGCTGAAAACTAAAATGGGCAGACACTGGTCGAGTTTTATTTAAATATAGAGCTAAAAACACGATTTGAAAAAAATAGAAACTAATCAGCAAAAAGGCTGAAAACTGATATGTAAATCAAATATGAAGCAGAAATATTCATTCATCTTCTACTCAACATAGTTGCCTGTTCTCAATAATTTCTTACAGACAATATAATGATTCAGATAAGAAAAAACTGAACAAAAATTTGTCTTAATTTTATTTTTGAACATGTTTAACATTTGATCAATGATCTATCTTAGTATCTCTGAGAGATTTGTCCTTCAGTCCACATGATGTCTTGTAAATATTAACTTCACTAAATATTAACTAGCAACAGACCTGCTGTCCTTCTCCAGGACATCTGTTCACCAGCAAACTGTTTTTTTTTTTTCCTCACTCTGGGAGTAAGTTGTTTGTGGGATTCAGTTTGGTTTGGTGGGCTCCTCAGACTGAAGAAGTCCTTTGGATGAAGGATGAAACATCTCAGCAACAAAAGAAACCGTCCAGATGACCTTACAGAACAATGAAGTTATTTTCTACAAACTAATTTGTCTGTTAGCACCATTGCCCTCTTGCACAAATATGCCTGAGTTGCTTCATCCATCCATTTTCTTTAGCTGCTTCTCTTTCTGGGTCACAGGGGGAGCTGGCACTTATCATCAGCAGTCACTGTGCGAGAGGCGAGCCACACCCTGGATAGAACACAAGTCCACACAGACACAGAAACAAATGAGACAAACATAATAATATTTTTTTAATCACTTTCGTTTCCTAAATTTAATGTATTGTAATGTTTCCTGTTGCACTTGAGGTTTTTACAGTTAGAAGGGTTAGAGGTGGGGTCCATCCTGAAGGGTCACAGCCTGAACAGTCATACACTTTTCAATACAAGTGCTTATCTTGTATGATTCACAAGTACACTCAAATAAAAAAAAAAACACATGTGATAACAAACACATTAGGAATAAATACATAGGAAAAGTTCAAACATCCAGTTGTACAGAACATGGCACTTACTTTATATGAAATATTCATACGGTTTCAGTTCAAAAACACCTTTTTTTTTTTTTTTTTGCTCACTATTTTAGAAATAAAATGTTCAACACATTATGGATGTATCTTTGCCCCAGTTAGGAAACACTGCATGTAAATAAACCTTTTTGATACAGAAAAAAAAAAGAAAAAAAAAAAAGCCAAAGCTTTGCAGAATAATATCACAATGAACACATGATTTACTCCATGGCTAGATCTGTCAGAACAAAAAAAGTTATTTTGTTTTGTCTGAATTTTTTGCAGCAAAAATGAAACTAAATAAATAGTGAAGCTTAAAAAAGATATTACAGGAATACCTTTGGCAGCAGTGTCAATGACTCTACAAACAGTCTGTATTTGCCAAGCAGTGCTACATTTGCTTAAATGGCTTCTCATAAAGGGGTGGATAGAAGAAGCAGAAAAACAATTGGTCAGTGATACTGTATATATCAGACTGCAAAGAGCAAAGAAGTCTGCACCAAGGAACCATGAAGGCTTTGTGCGCTGCTGTTATTGTGCTGAGCTTCATCTCAGTGGGCCAGCCTGCACCGCTGACCTGTGATACACTAAAAAAGCCAGTAGAGAAAGGTCCAAACGTAAGTCTTTGTCTCCTGTTATAAGTAACACCATCTGTTTTAAACTGCCGTGATTTGTGAATAACCTTTGTTGTAATTCACTAAATATTCTGTTCACATGTTATTTAATTTCAGTTGTCTGGAAGATGGTACTATATAGCTATATCAACAGAGGTGTGTTTGCCTACAACGCTGCTGGACAGTATTATTTGGCCAAGTTTTTCCATGGATGTAACTTCTAAAGACACGCCCAACCTCTATGATGGCCTTGCTAGAGTTAAAATGTAAGGGATATATTTATTTATTTATTTATTTAAAAACTATAATTTAAAGTGAAAATGCACAATGAGTGAATCAAAGTTTCATTATTTGATTACTTCTTGTTTTCGTGTTTATTCGTCTATAAATTCTTCCCAGGTATGGATATTGTGTCAATGAATCTGAGTCGGCTCTGTACGTGAACAACAAAATATATGATGTTGACAGTGAAAGTAAGAGTTTTGCTTAATATATATACGTTTGCCTCTCCATCTCCAGACCTTTACGTTGCAGACGTTGTAGCTATTTGTGTGTATGTTATTCACAAACTGGCTTTCTTTCAAGTTCTGCAGTTTCCAGTTGTAAGACTGAAAAAGTAATAGCCCAATGAACATAGATTTCAACAAAAATGTTATATTTCTGTGACTAATTTTAATCCAACTGGTTTTCAGATGCGTTTAACACATTTGGATTGTTGGTCGTTTATAGTTGTAACATTACAGTTTTATTTTAATACAATCATATTTCTGTTCACATCGTTTCCAACAGATGCCCCCACTGGTGATCCAGATGTTCTGCTGCACACTAGCTGTCATGACTGCCTTGCTGTAAAAACCGATGATGTCATCGACAGTCTCGTGCTCCTCAGTAAGAAAAAGAAAAATAGACTAAACAAACATGACAACATTTATCTTGTAAAAGTCTCTAAGCACAGAAGAAACAGGTGACAATTGTAATTTTATAAGATTTTTTTTAATGAGGGACTCTGGTGGGTGCTGTGGTAAGCGTGTTGCAGCCATGGCTTGGTTCTCCATGGAGGTTATAGTCACTACAGATCAAAATAAATTTGTTCTAAATGACCACATTTGTCATGTCCTCAAATGTTTCAATTCCAACATGATCCATTCCAAATTAAAATTTGCTTCCATTCAATGGTAAAATGGTAAATAAACTATAGCACCTTTCTATCTAATCTTCTTCTTCTTTCGGCTTTTCCCTCTTCAGGGGTCACCACAGCGAGTCATCATCCTCCATTTCACTCTGTCCTCTGTAAAGTTGATTTTAACCTTCATAATCACTGCATCAAAACTCAATTAAATACCTGTAAGAGGTTTTAGACTGGCATAAAATATATCACTGTCCAACAAGATGAAAGAATCACAAAATTAGAAAATTTGCTGCAAATTCCATGTAGTGGCCCAAAGCTAAACATGGTTCTACTCTAATATCTGTGTGGGGACACCTTTACAGTTTTGCTAAATTATAAAGTTGAAATGTTTTTTGAGTAAAACTAAACAAAAACACTCAAAGAGAATATAATCAAATCTCTCGTGCCACTTCTTCATCAGGTCGGAGATCAACCGTCACCACTGCTGAGCTGCAAGAGTTTAAGAAGCAGGTTGAGTGTTTTGGTTGGTCCAAACCAGTGGTCTTAAACACAGACCATGGTGAGATTTTTTTTTTTTAATTTCTTCTGTTAATCAAAATACGGAACAGAAAATTATATGAACTATTTAAAGTCATGAACAGAAATGGGTATAAAACAGTTGGTAAATCAGTTTTTTGTTGCCAGTTTCTTATATTTAAAATCCAATTAACAGATATTTTAATAGTCCTCTGTCTTTGTCCACCAGGCAAAAGCTTGATTTTTGTTTTACAGTATTACTCAGGCACAGAAAGAATTTCTAATTTTATTTTTATTTTTTATGTGTGTGGTGTGTGTGTGTGTGTGTGCAGACCAGAAGATCTGATGGTATTGTTTTTTTAACATCGTTTTATTTTTATTTTTTATTTTTTCCATTTTTTCATTACAGACTTTAATAACTGTCTGACCATTGATGACAACATGACTGAGGAAGCGGCTGAACATTTCCTGAAAAACTTCTTTCCCAAGATGATTGAAAGAATCAAAAATACCCATCATAATATTTTCAAATGTCTCTCAGACATGGTTGCCTATTATGGAAGCTCTCCTTTTGCTTTAAAGTAAGCAATAGTTGTTTTTCAACCAGTAATGCTTATTGTGGCCCTTTAACAAGAGTGTGAATTTGGACAAAATAGCTAACAACAATCAGTTTTTTACTTTTAAATTATAGTAATTACAAATCATGTCCATATACTAAAACAACTTTTACTGCAGAGTAAATTACAAGAAAAAAACAAAACAAAACAGGTATTCATTCAGGGAATATAAACAGCCTATACAGCTGAGTTATTTTTTTCCTGTTGGTTGTCAGATATAAAGGGGCAACAGAGTAAAAAAAATAAATAAATAAAATCTAACAAGGTTAAGTTTCCCAAGAAGACTGAAAAAGTCTTTTGGATAAAAGAGTAAATGTTTCATCAAATAAGAACCATGCAGAGGACCTCCTAACTCAACCTTGTTAGATTTATCTACCTGGATAATTGAGCATGCATCAGGACGTTTTTAAAAAAAAAACTTTTTTCCCATTTATTTTTTTATTTTTATTTTGCAAAGCAGTGCACATGATAAGCTAAAATATCTAAATTTAGTGGCATAACACTGAGTTTACCACATGGTTTAAATTCAGCAAGACAAGTTTTGGGTTGACCTGGCATGAAACAATTTTGTGAGTGAAGTAAATGAAGATCTACAGAAAATAAAAGGGCAAACTTTCATACTATATGATTGCTGTTGCTAAGTGTTATCTGTGTGTTAATCTGCACAACAATAAAAACCTCATAAAACCCCCTAATGAGAGTAATTTCACTTTTGTAAACACCACTACATGCTATGTTTTAAACGGCATTCTCAGACATTGACTAGAAAACCCTGTCTGCCTTCAAGAGTTGTAATGAGTCTTGGTAAAAAATAAAAACATTAAAATAATTATTAAACATTGCTAAGTTGCATGGAGCACCATGAATACTTGAATTTAAATATTTTATTTTGTACAAAAATGTGTGTGTATAT